CTATAACTACCTGTTAACCCTACTCGGGTAAAAGCAATTGAACAAACCTATGTTCCGTTTTGTCCCGAACTACGTTCGCTCTGATCTCTCAGACCTGTTGAGAGTACGTAGGCACAAGATGTGATGTCTTGGCGAGCAACCTTCCCCCGTTCACCCGTAGTTAGTCGAACTACGTTGACTCTGACTTTCCCATTGCACGAGGGAATACGTAGGCCCAGAGCAGCGACGCTCTGTCGAGTCCTTTTTCCTTTTTCCTTTTTCTTTTCTTTTAACCCAGGTCATTAGCTAGATAGATAAACAATCCTTTTAGATAAACAACGCAAGTGTGGATCCCGTCGAGTACGACGGACGTGAGGGGTGCTAATACCTTCCCCTTGCGTAACCGACTCCCGAATCCAAGATTTGGTTGCGATGACCGGTCTTATCCCTTTTTCACTAGGTTTCTCCTGATCGTTTCCTTTCCCTCCTTTGGGATAAATAACGATAGGTGGCGACTCTTCTGTCTTTGCCGGCACCTTTTTTTTCGCAGTAGCGACACTCATCTACCTGAGTGTGTCATGCGGCAGTTTCGGTACACCTAAACCATCCCCATACACCCTAATGTCTCTACTCATCTTGCCTTCTCTCCTAGACAGATAGAAGCGATGTTTGCTGATTATGAGAGTCACTTGGTACCAGAGGAGGCTCGGGCTACCACAGCGTCGAACGACTAGAGCTACGTTGATGGGTACATCAGGTGGTTCTTCTGGGTCTCACATTCGTACATGGTGCAAACTGCTTCAGGTGATCCATCAAGACAAGCTCATTAGGAGATTCTAGAGGAGGAGCAGACTCAGCTAGATCATACTGATGATGTCTTGCCTCGGTGTCGTCGCATAATGGAGATTGCGCGCGCAGGCATTGAAGAGGGTATCTTTCCTGAGGGGTCTGCTGTCAGGTGAGTCCTGGATGCCATGGTGGCGGAGGCATAGGGGCACTATTGTACCAGAGACATTGTTGTATGGTTATAGTTTGTACTTTATTTATGACATTGTTACTACATTTTGGATCTCGTGTTCTACGACATGTTCTTGTTATATTGCTATATTATTAGTCTCTTGTCATTTTGTACATCTATTTTTTAAATCGATCTTCATACTTCATCTAAAAACAAACACATAGCTTTTATAAAAAAAAATTATTTTGATACACTTAAAGATATATCTCCAGAATATTTCCTTAGATGTATCTCCGAAACAATTCAAACATAACTGATTTATGGGTGACATGTTATGAATGTTTAAAATAATTTCGGAAATGTATTTTTGAAATATGTCAATGTTTAACCAAAAATGAAATGCGCCCGAAGATATATCTTTAGACCGGAGAGCATAATTGAAAATCCACGTATATGCTTAAAAAGATATAGGATGCCATAGAAAATTCTTAACTTATATACCTATTAGGTTTAGGCTCTTCCCATATATCCACCTGCATTTGAGAATTTTACTGCATTTGAGAATTTTACTTTATCACCCTGCATTTTAGAATTTTACTTTATCACCCATTTTATTGACCTGTCACCCCTATTATCATAATTCATTTTAAAATTACAATTTTTACTATTCAAATTATTATTTCTCAAAGTTTCAAAAAAAAAAACTTAACCTTCAATTTTTTAAAGCTTTTACCGGATATTTACAATTATTCATTTTTCCATTAAGTTTATGCATTTGTACCAGATTTTTCACAAAAACCATATTTTTCTACCGACATTCAATAAAATCCTCAATTCCACATGTGATTTTACCGGCATCTTTTAAACCGGCATTTTTTAAAATGGAGGAATCCTACATGTATACTTATTATCTTTTAACCATAAGAACTCTTGTGTTGAGTTGGATAAGAGACAAAATAAAATCATTTATGCTTTTGAAAATTAAGGCTCCATCACGGCTCCAACCTTAACCGCCATATAGAACCGAAGTTAAAATGACCGCGTAAACCAAACCAATATTTTACTAACGAACCGAATTGCAAAACATGTACAAAATAAGATCCATCATTTCATTGGAATTTGGACTCAAGAAAGAATGCGTTCTTATCATTCCCTCAAGGTTATCAATCTTATTGGTGGTCGATATCTTATTCTAGGAACTAGGTTATTTGTTTTTGCATGTCTCTCTATTTTACTTGCTTCATCGCTGGGTTTTATAGCTTGTCACAAACAAAATTTTGAGCCACTGATACAACAGGAAAATAGGTAAAACTATCTGATAATAGAGGTGGCAATTAAATCCATTAAGGCAAAATCCATCCAATCCATCCATCAAAAAATTCATTCAATCCATCCACCACACAAAAAATAAGTTAATGGATTGGATTAAATCCATCCATTTATATGCATGGATGGATTCAATCCATCCATTTATATGCATTGATTGATTCAATCCATCCAACATATTTTAAGGATCCAATGGATTATTTTTATTTTCGTTAGATTTATTTTTTTAAAATTAGATTTTTTTAAAAGTAATTAAAAAACTATTTTTTTTTCTGAAAAAAATTTAATTTTTTTAAAAAAAAATCTTTTTTTTTCAGAATAAAAAACTGATTTGTTTTCGGAAAAAAAAATTTCTCGAAAAAAAAGCCGACTTTTTTTTTGGAAAAAAATCGGTTTTTTTAGGATAAAAAACTGATTTGTTTTTCGAAAAAAAAATAAATTTTTTTCTCGAAAAAAAAACCGACTTTTTTTTTTGAAAAAAATCAGTTTTTTTTCAGAATAAAAAACTGATTTGTTTTTCAAAAAAAAAATTTCGAAAAAAAAACCGACTTTTTTTTTTGGAAAAAAATCAATTTTTTTTCTGAAAAATCGTTTTTTTTTTCAGAATAAAAAACTGATTTGTTTTTCGAAAAAAAATAAAAAATTTTCTCGAAAAAAAAGCCGACTTTTTTTTTGGAAAAAAAATCGGTTTTTTTTTTCAGAATAAAAAACTGATTTGTTTTTGAAAAAAAAAATTATTTTTACGAAATTAAAAAAAAAAGTTGGATGGATGGATATCCATCCATTAAAAATATGTTAATGGATGGATTGGATGGATTTTATTCTTAATGGATGGATCGGATTGGATAATTTTAATAAAATTTTAGTGGATTTTATTGGACTAATGGATTGTTTTAATCCATCCATTAGCAATCCAATCCATATCCATCCAATCCATCCATTTTGCCACCCCTACCTGATAATATTAAAATCAAACTTAAGCAAAATACTAAGTCTCAATCCTGACGTGATTTTTAAACGTCCTGATTCCACCTAAATATGCACTGATTTATAGAGCATAAACATGTAGCATGGATGACTGATACTAAAAAACTGCTGTTGCATCGCAAAACTCAAAAGACATTAGTGTGCTTTAAAAAAAGTCGCAAAACTGTGCTACACGTAGAAGCAAAGTAAAACTGATTCTGGGAGTAGTTCTGCTACCAAGTGAATTAGTCCTCAATCCCAGAAAGAAGTGACCTGCATCCATCCAAAAAAATGTCAGCATGTTATTTATAGTACGATATATTAGCAAAAATAAAGGAAAAGAAAAAATAATTGAAACACAACTGAACAGAATAGACAGAAGAAAGGAAAGTGTGAATCGGATCAAACCAGAGATATGGATTAGCAGAGCTGCAAAGCAGAGGGTGAGAAGCTGAGGGTGCAAAGCAGATATATACTTATATAGGACAGCATGAAGGTAGAGAAGCGGCGCAAAACAGTGTTTTGCATTTTACTCTGGAAATTAGGGTTTGTTTGGAGACAGAAACCCAAAATTACCCCTGTAACATTTCTGGTAATATTATACCCGGGAATACAAATTTTTCTCGTTGAAACAAACACACCCTTCTCATACATAGCTTCAATCAAAGGAGAGTAATAATGGAAGAGAAAAATAACGCTATCATGGAAGAGAAAAATAATGCTATCATGGAGAAGGAGGAGCTAGATGCCTGAGGAAGGAAGGAGAATAACGCTATTTTTTTTCCTTGTCTTTTGATCACGATGACTGCGCAAAAAGAGAGGGGCAATGTGAGGCGAAGTTAAGGCTCACATTTGAGCTAAAAACCCAAAACTACTACCCTAAAAACGGTTAAAATTTAAAGGATAACTTCATTTTTTTCAGAGGGGAATATGAAAGTGGGTCGAGAACTGCTCCAGGCCAATAGCGCCCACAACGTTGAACTGCACCACTAGAGGGCTATTTTAGTCACGGCCAGCCTCCGTGCCGCGCCACTATCCACCCCTATTGACTACTCTGGTTGAGGCTCTTCTCTACATATGTTGGTAATTAGTGCATGCCTAACATACCAACATATGTATACGCTAACATATGTATCTTCATGAGTGCATAGTGTAGGTATTCAAGTTTTCAAGGATAATAAAATTGGTTGACCAGTCCATAACTTTTAGATATTCAAACAAACTTGTGCCGCAGTGCTGATGCACATGTATCATTATTTCCCAGAGGAGCACTTCCTGCAGAACATTATTTCAAAAAAAACTGAACTATTGAGATATTAATATCAAGAGACAAGTGTAGCCTCACTTAGTTAAGCAAGTCATTTCCAACATTTCGTTCCACCCAATGCTCAAGGTAGTTTTCCATTCTTAACTACTTGAGAAGTTTTTAGGTTTATATCTTGAATACAAGTAGACAACCACCCAATCCAGCAATCCTCAATGTAGCTCTCCGTTCTTAAATACTTGAGAAGTGATTAGGATTATGTCTTGAATACAAGTAGAAAATGAGAAGGAACGCCAACAGAAAATCAACCAAAGAATATTTGGATATAAGTAATGTATGCCCTTGGCACACAAGTTTGGGGAAAAAAACTAGTATGAATGAAACCCAACATTGAGCACCCCATGATCATTTTCATAACTCAAGTCAAACAACAGTCGTGCAACCACATATTACATTAACAAAACAAAATAGAGCATAAAATCAAGTTAGACTTGAAGCAATTACCTCTTAAGCTTGATCTTCAACCTTCTTATCTTCCCCATCATTGGTACTAGCCGCAGCTGCCTCTACACCATCAGCATCATCAGCACCATCTGCATGTGGTTGAACTTGCTCCTCTTCGGGTATTGGCTCCTCCACATAGTCATTCTCAAATGCATCAGCTGGAACCTCATAAATCCTAACTTGGGGCTTAGATGGATCCTTCACAAGAACATATTTCCCCTCATTCAATTTCATGCACATGTCCACAATAGACTTCACAATCCCCCACATATTGCCCGGATTCAAATTAATCTGTGCAGCAAAATCCTTAGGTTTATATCCAACAACAGCCAAGATCACGTGGTTAAAATGATCACGGGGATGAATCCGAGAAACATATCCCAACTTCATCATATCAGCACTCGCCAAAAGAGCCTGTGCAGTCCACTTAGCCAACTTGTTAGCATTGTTCTTGAGTTCCGTAGCCAAAACAGCACCTCTTTGCGTCTCCAACTTCTGCCTCCAATCAACACCAGAATACTTTGGATCAAACTCATTCAATGCATTCAAAGTAAGGAAAGACCTTTGGTTGTTGACATCAACAACACTATGCACCTCACACCTAGCAACAAGATACATATCATTATCAAGCTTCCACCTTCTATACCTATAACCAACAGAAGCAACCTCTTCACCTTCATTAGCAAAAGGATTAGGCTCATCAAAAGTAACCTTTTTCCCATCCCTAATCAAAACTTGTTGAGAGAAATTCTGATTGATATAAGAAGCCTCAACACTAAGCGAATGAGCAGAGTTAATATCATCTTTCGCCTCAGGCAATGGCTCTTGAGAGGTCTCATGAACAGAAAGCAAATCCAGCTGCGACCCATCACGCTTATCAAAGAAAAGCTTATTCCCAACACGCTGAACAACAATATCCCAAGAGTAAACAGACCTAGGAGCGCACATGAGAGTCGATAAAATAGCATCAGTAGCAAAAACCGTGGCTTTATCTTCATTGGCGAGCCTCCGGATAACAGGGTCATCAGTGGTGGTGACTTTGAAGAAGTTCCGATTCTTAAACCTCTCAAGACGACGTTCATTTTTCGGAGCGATTCGATCATGCGACCTATCGTAACTCTCGACTGCACCGCAGAGGAGAAGATCCTCAGGCTCAGAGACATTGAATGATAGTTTGGTGAAAGCGGAGAAAGGGATCTGGTCGTGCATATTCCATTCCGGTTGAATATCAACCGACGATTTGAAAAGCTCACGGCGATGGTTGCTAGGGTTTGAACGATTCTGGTAATGCCGATCACGACGAGCTCTTTCTTTCTCAGCTTCACGTTTCTTAGCTTCAACTTCCTCGTCGCGGCGCTGAGGAAGCTGAAGCTGGCGTTGGAAGCGCCATTTGGGCCCGAATTTGGGACGTGGCGGAGGCTTACCGTCGACTAATCGGAAAGATGAGTCATCGTCGGCGAAAGAAGGGAATGAAGCGTCGGAGGTGAAGTCGAAGGCGGAGTCGGCTGGGTTTTTGGATCGGGTCGGGTTGTTGAAGTTGCGAGTCCAATCGGCAATACGGCCTAGCTTGTCGGAACGGGAGAATGGAGCGAAGGGGACGTTAGAGTCATCAGCGGTGGACTCGACTGGGCCCCATCCGTCGGGGTTGAATGGAACGGCTCCTAGGTCGAAGGTTGCAGTAGGCATTTCTGTGAACAAGTTTGCGAAAGAGAAACTCTGTTTTGAGACAGAGAGAGATAAGTGAGGAACTTCGCTTATAGGGAGGGCCTATTTAGACATATGGACCAAATTTAAGGTTTTATTATATACACCTCCTCCTTTTCCTACTTTTCCACCATTCATAACTTTGTTTTGGTAGTAATAAAAATTGTACTTTTAGATTGATGTTGGAATGATAAGTTTATGAGTTCTTTTTTATATGAATGCCACTAGCTGAATTAAAAGTACTGAACTGTCACAAGTTAAAAAAATTTAACTAAAGTGTCATGGTTTTTTTTATAGGGTTCGTTCAATAGAAGGACAAACATATAAAGGTGTTTTTACTTATGAAAGGGCTCGGCCAACCATTGACCGATCTTTCGAAAGTTTTTTTTTTAAATATAAATATAAAATATTTATTATGATTTTATATATTTTATTGTTTTTTAAATATTAAAAAAACTCTTTTTTGATGATTTAAAATATTAATAAATAAATAATTTAATTAATTTTATAATGTTATTAAATATTTTCTATAACATTTAATTAATTATCTAATTAATTAAAATAATTTGTTTATTAAATAAAATCATAAATAGAAGCAATTTTATTAATGTCAATGACTGAAAAAGATACATCATTTTTGTCTACGTAAATGACCGTTAGTTCCACACATTTTACTCTTTTTCACGCGTTTTCTCCTGCCTAACTCTTCGGGTTGTCGTCTTGTAGGTGATGGAGTAGAGTCAGAAGATAACTCTTCATCTTCACATACATTTTCAGGTTGATGTGATGTATCGACCATGTCCATATCAGTAACAGAAAAACCTGGTCATTTCATAAGCTGATCATTAGTTATGAGATAGTTGGGGACTGACTGGGATGGTTGGTTGAAGGTGGTTGGAGGGTTTTGTTTTATGGGAGGGTAATAAACATCGTCAGTGCGGCCGGTAGAAGTGGGTTGAGAGAGTGAAAGGTTAAATGTTTGCTGTTGTGATTTGGGGTAAGAGAAATCAAAATTAGGTAGAGGAATTGGAGTGAATTGTAAGGATAGTCAAAATATGGTTTGTTCCTGGTATTATTGGTGGTAGTAGAAGTTAGGTTGCGGGGTTGAGGTGTATGGTGTTGGATGCTGAGAGAATGTGACAAAGAATGTGGTATGAGTACGTTGATATGTTGGTTGGGGTTGTGTGGATTGGGGGTGTTGGTATGTGGTCTGGGGGAATGAAGAAGTATGTGATTGAAATTGCGAAGGGTTCATTTGGGGGATTTCCTGAGGCATGGACGACGAGGATTTTTTCTATGATGAAGACGATGCATATTGACATGGTTCTTCTAGGAACTGGCCTTGAGAAGCATGCATAAATGGAATGGATAAAAACCATTGCATATATGCAGTACTATGAACATAGTTACTGTTAGAACACATATTGATTCTTAGTTATATCTCTATGTTTTGATGATAACACTAATGAAATTTTGTATTAAGTAAATACATACTCTAATTTTGTTCAAGTGTCTTTGTTTCAGATATTAAATTTAATATTCATCTAGAAGCAAAAATGCATTTGAACATTAATCTACGCAAGGCTCTGAGCGTCAGAATCATCTCATCAGAAGACGATGAGCACAGCCTGAAGAGACTTTGAAGCAGAAGCTACAGAAGACTCTGAAGTGTATCTAAAGAATTCAAGTGAAGAGCTTAATGCATTGTCTCAAAAGACTCTAGATGTATTGTTCGCTGCATGTACAGAGGCTCTGATAGACAACTCTGATATTCACGCTAAAGCACATTGGCTGCAAGACTCTGATATAGAAACTCTGATAAGAGTAACTTTGAAAGAAGCGTGTTGAAGAATATGCTATTCAAAATATCCGTTGGCATATTCCTTGTCAGCTGAACGACTCTTTCCTCTTTCGTGTGTGACACAGGATTTTAGACAAAAAGGTTTTAGTTTGAACATTCCTCTTCTAAGAAAGGAAAAGTCAATGCAAGACAAAAAGGATACAGCTACTTTGCAGTGCACAGTCTTCAAGCATTGGACTTCTGGTACTATAAAAGGACGTCTTCAACAACGTATCAAAGTTGACGAATTATTGATAATTAAATTGAAAAACTACTTTCAAGCTCTCATACAAATATTCTTCATTTGTTGAATAGTTTTTATTCGTTCTTAAACTTTGTGTAAAAAATCACAGTTGTGATTAAAGCTTTTTAGAAGCAACTCATACACTATTGTTTAATTTACATTTGATTGTAAAGGTTTCCTTAAGAAGACCAAGTTGTGATCAGGATTTCTTTAGAAGACTAAGACGTGTTGTCTAGTGGTTAACACTGTAATCAAGTTTGAATATAGTAGATTAAGTCCTTTTTGAGAAAGGCAAATCACCTTGGTAGGATGGACTGGATTAGTTGAGTTCAACGAACCAGGATAAAAATACTGTCTGATTTTTATTGTGTCATATTTATTTTTAAGAAACCCTTATTCAATCCCCCATTTCTAAGTGTTTTTCCCACCTTCAGTTGGTATCAGAGCTCCGGCTCTGTTGTGCTATCACTTAACAGTGAAAGAGAAAAGATTCAGTGGGAAAACTCTTGATATTCCTTGTTGATACATTATGGCTGAAGTTCCAACATCTAACAACAAATATGAAGACAGAGATAGAATCAGCACTAAACCTTCCATGTTTGATGGTGAGAAGTTTGAATATTGGAAAGATAGAATAGAAAGTTTCTTTCTAGGCTATGACGCTGACCTTTGGGATTTGGTAACTGATGGTTACAATCATCCTACAAATGATGAAGGCAAGAAGATTGACAGGAAGTCAATGACGGATCAACAAAGAAGAGATTTTAGAAATCACCATAAAGCAAGAACAATCTTATTAAATGTTATATCTCATACTGAGTATGAGAAGATTACTAACAAAGAAACTGCATTTGATATGTTTGAATCTTTGAAGATGACTCATGAAGGGAACTCCCAAGTGTAGACCAAGGCTCCGGCTCTCATCCAGAAATATGAAGTTTTCAAGATGGAAGAGTCTGAATCTGTAGAAGCCATGTTTTCAAGATTTCAGATTCTAACAACTGGCTTAAAAGTTCTGGACAAAAGGTATTCTACATTTGATCACGTGAAGAAGATCATCAGAAGCTTGCCTATAAGGTGGAGGCCTATGGTCACAGCTTTGAAGCTTGCAAAGGATATGAACAAGATCACGCTGGAAGAACTGATCAGCTCCTTGAGGAGTCATAAGATTGAACTAGAAGAAGACGAACCTCAAAAGAAAGGTAAGTCTGTTGCTTTGAAATCTAATAAATCTGCTAAAGCTTTGCAGGTTGTTGAAGAAAGTTATGAGGAATGTGCCTCTGAAGAAGATGAACTATCACTGCTGTCCAGAAGGATCAACCAACTCTGGAAGCATAAGCAGAAGTTCAGGAACTTCAAGAAACCAGATCAACGAGGAGAGTCTTCTGAACGCAGAAGATCTGGAAAGAAATAGGTGGTCTGCTATGAATGCAAGGAATCTGGGAACTACAAAAGTGAATGTCCAAAGCTTCTGAAGGAGAAACCCAAAAGGAAGTTTGACAAAAATAAGGTTCTGATGGCTGCATGGGATGATTCAGATGCATCTGAATCCTCATTAGAGTCAGAAGAAGAATGTGCAAACATGACACTGATGGCATACATAGAAGCTCATGATGAAGGAACATCTGGATCTGAATCTGATTCAGAAGAGGTATTTTCTGAACTCACTAGATCTGAACTTGCTGAACGTTTATCTGAGATTCTTGAAAACTATAGCAAGATTAAGCTCAAATATAAGAAGCTTCAAAGCTCTCTTGCATCTGAAACTAATCAAATGAAATATGAAATTGTTGAGCTCAAAGAAAACAATCTTCAATTGAAAAATGATTTAGAAAAGGCTCAACTTAAAACTGATTCAGATTCTACATCATGCTCTAAAAATATTTTAGAAGAGTATGATTATAGTTTTTAGAGGTTTCTTTCAGAAAGCCTAGATAGAAGCAAAATGGCTTCAATGATCTATGGTATTAGCATAAACAACAGAAAAGGAATTGGATTTAAATCACCCTCTGGGAATGATTTAAGACCAAAACCTATTGATGAACTTATCATTAAGTATTCTCCTCTATACACCCAATTTAAATTTGGTCACCTTAATGATATTAAGCACACACGCTCTGATCAGAACATTCTTATGTTTAAACCTAAAGTTCGTCAGAACAAACCTGTTGTCAAAAGACAGAAGTTCAGACAAAACTTTAAGGCAACTAACCCTAAAGGACCCAAAAAGATCTGGGTACCTAAGGACAAAATAATCTTTGTTGCAGACATCCTTAGCATAAAAGTTGAAACGCCAATCATGGTACTTGGACTCTAGCTGCTCGCGTCACATGACGGGAAGAAGGTCTATGTTCCAAAGCCTGGAACTTAGATCTAGAGGAGACGTTAAGTTTGGAGAGAACTAGAAGGGAAAAATAATAGGCTCTGGAACTATCGGTAATGGTAACCTTCCTTCCATATCTAATGTTTTACTTGTTGAAGGATTAACACATAATCTATTGTCCATAAGTCAATTAAGTGACAATGGTTATGACATAATCTTCAATAAAAAAATGTTGCAAAGCTGTCAGTCAAAAGGATGGCTCAATCCTCTTTAATGGAAAAAGGAAGAACAACATTTACAAAATAAATCTTTCAGAACTTAAGGTTCAAAACATAAAATGCCTTATGTCTGTTAATGATGAGCAATGGATGTGGTGCAGAAGATTGGGGCATATTAATATGAGGCGTATATCTCAGATTAATAAACTCAATCTGGTCAGAGGACTTTCTAAGTTAAAGTTTAACTCAGATGCTTTTTGTGAAGCATGCCAGAAAGGAAAATTTTTAAAATCTGCTTTTAAAACAAAAAATGTTGTTTCAACCTCTAGACCATTAGAGTTACTTCATATTGATCTG